AACCAAGCCACTGCTTGTACCAGGGGAAGCCACCAAAAAAAAAAAAAAAGAAAAAGACACTCTTTAAAAGAATGTAATGCTTAAGGCAAATATTCCTCATTAAATGAGCCAAGTTGTTATTTAATTTAAAGATGACAACATGGTGTAACTTTGGCCAAGGCTTAAAAGTTGGTTCCAAGCAATAGATTTGGGAGCACCTTCAGTGTCAATGAATCCAGTAAGTCTGGTTTCCAATAAGAATTTGAAGTTTATTTCAAAGAGTTTTCTCCTTTTGATCATGAGTCCTTAATCAACATGCTGAACCTCAGCTTCTTCATCTATAAACTGAGATGAAGAATAGACATTCTTATAAAATTGTTGTACGAATTAAGTTAAACGATGTGTAGTGATCACATGGCACATGGAGGTAAAAACCAACATGTATATTCTTTATGGGAGGTTATCTTAGCTGTCCTGTTTACCACTACCTTCCCTGAATGGGCAAAGTGCCTGGCACATAGTTGTTGTTGTTGTTGTTGTTAGGTGCCATCAAGTCAGCTCCAACTCATAATGACCCCGTGGACAACAGAACAAAACACTGCCTGGTCCTGTGCCAGCCTCACGATCCTTGCTATTCCTGAGCCTTTCATTGCAGCCACTGTGTCAGCCCATCTCGTTGAGGGCCTTCCCCTTCTTCACTGACCCTCTACTTTACCAAGCATGATATCCTTAAATAGCTATTTGATTCACGACCAAATTGAGCTATTGAAATTACAGCAGAAAGTTACAGGTTTTATTTATTCAAGTTTTGTTTTGCTTTCTAATTCTCTAATTCTTTATTCCACACAAAGAACCTGAAAACAGGATTTAAAAAAAAAAATCTTTTTTTCTAATCTGGCCTGTTGGCTGGTTGTTTTTTCCTACCTCTATTCAAGGAGCCTTTTTGGGAAAACCATCTTTGTAATAAACATACCTTTTCTCTTTCAGTTCAAAGTGCCAGACAATCGGAATATAAAGCAGCTGCAAGATTAATGAATCTTACAGCCGATTTGAATGTGATAAACACTTTATTAGAAAAGAACCCAGAGATAAGAAGCAATTAATGTGATTGTCAAGTATTATGCTTTGATACAAAGAAAGGCCTGTGCATTCAGCTAGAAATAATGTTGAGAAAAGCCATTTAAGTTTCTAGCTGCACAAGCCTGGAGTTCAGGGGAAAAAGTCATTCAGAAACTGAGATATTGATAGATTTTTGTACCAAATGCAAAAAAAAGAAAAGAAAATCACCCATAAGCTTAGAGTCTATTTTCACTTCATAGGATGTTTCTCAAAGCAGACAAGATCCTTTGCATCTTTCTAATCTTGTCTGTCTTGGCTCTCTGGTCAATAATCAGCTTCAAAATTGTGCCTGACAGTTTTCCTTAACATCCCTATTCACTCCTCATAATATTGGCAAGCAGTAAATCCTGAGAGATTGTTGTCCCCCATGGCCACAAGTCCCTACCATAATGACTGTTGGGTCAGACAAAACTCTATTCCAATCCCAGCCACTTATTGTGAGACCTCGAGTAAGGAAGTTCACCTTCTGAGTTTTCTCCTTAGTAAAATGGACATAGCAGTCCTCATCTTATAGGATAGTAGTGAGAACCCCTGGGGGTGCCAGGGTTAAGCACTTGGCCGCTAACCAGAAAGTCAGTGGTTTAAACCCACCAGCAGCTCCACAAGAGAAAAGACCTGGTGGTCTGCTCCTGTAAAGATTAAAAACCAAAACCAAACCTGTTGTCATCTAGTTAATTCCAACTCATAGTGGTCTTACAGGGCAGAGTACAACTGCCCCATGAGGTTTCCAAGGCTGTAATCTGTGTGGAAGCAGACTGCCACAGAGCAGCTGGTGGCTCCATTAACCACTGAGCCGCAATCGCTCACCATAAAGATTACTGCCAAGAAAACTCCATGGGCCAGTTGTGCTCTGTTCTGTATGGTTGCTATGAGTCTGACTCAACAGCACACAACAAGAGGACTGTTAGGGGATTAGATGACATCGTGTTTGAAAAGTGACCAGCACAGAGGCAGTGCTAAATAAATGGTAGTTGCTTATTTGGGCTATTGGGCTTCTCTCCTTGCAATTTTTCAGTGACTTAATTGGCAATCTGGGGTGGTTGTTGTTGTTGTTATGTACCATCGAGTCGGATCCGACTCATAGCAACCCCTCCGTGGGTTTCCAAGGCAGTATCACTACAGAAGTAGATTGCCCCATCTTCCTTCCGAGGAGTGGCTGGTGGGTTTGAACCGCCAGCCTTCTGGTTTGCAGTCAAGTGCCTTAGACACTACACCACCAGAGCTCCTGGCAATCAGGGGAGAAGGAAGCAATATGAACCTGAACATTTCAATATCTCTGGGAACAGGATATGAACCTCTTTTGCATCACAGAGTTATCAAGAGAAGATGTTCCTTAACATCCTTCCAGAAATAAGTCGTGATTGCTCTATCCTGGCTACTCAGACTGTAGCCCATGGGTCAGCAGCATCCGCCTAACTAGAGAGTTTGTTAAAAATACAGAACCACAGGCCCTGCACTGGACCTCAGGAATCACAACCTGCATTTTTTAAGATCCTAGTGTGATTTGACAGCACATAACAACAACAAGTGTGATTTGTAGTCCCTGAGTGGCACAAACAGGTAAGTGCTCGGCTACTAGCAGAAGGTTGGTGGTTCAAACCCACCCAGAGCACCTCAGAAGATAAGCCTGGTGATCTGTTTCCAAAAGATGATAGCCTTGAAAACCCTACGCAGTAGTTCTACTCTGTGCACATGGGGTCAGCATGAGGCAGAAACCAGCCGATGGCAACTAACAACAACACAGTGATTTGTACATATATTAAAGTTTGAGAAGCACTGGGCTAGAGTGACTAATAATAAAACATGAATCATAACAGAACAATAATAGCAAATATTTGTTGATTTTGTTGTGCATCTACCATGGAGCTAAGTGCTTCAGATGCTTCATCTCCTCTAGAATGTAAACTCTGTGAGGGCAGAATCTTGTATTTCCTTCCAGCAATATTCCAGCACCAAGAACAATGTCTGGTTCACAGACAGTGTGAGGAAACGCATGCATTGCCTTAGTTCATGATCCCAACAACCCTACGAGGTTGCAGTTACCTGCTTCCAATCTCTGGATGCAGAAACTGAGACTTGAGAGTTTAAATAACTTTAGTAAATGTTTCTTTTAAGTAGTAAAGAGGGGCCTCAAACTCAGGTCTTTGTACCTCCAAACCCAAGTTTCAGCTGCAAATTATTTTTAAGGTAGACTTTCTTTTTTTTCCTAAGTATCAACTCTACTTATTTTGATACATAGACCATGAACTATTTTAGGACAGTTTAGACCAGAGGTTCCACTCTGTCTGATCTTTAAGGCAACCTGGAATAGTGGAAAGAGCATAGGCTCAGAGGCTATGCTTTAGTCCTTCCTTTGCCACCAACTGTGACTTTAGGATAGGACCATGGGTGGTAAATGGCTACTAGCCTAAAGGTTGGTGGTTCAAACCCAGCCAGTAGCACCACAGAGGTCTGGCAGTCTGCTTCCTTGACTATAAAGATTATAGCCAAGAAAACCCTGTGGAGCTGTTATGCTCTGTAACACATGGGGTGGCCCTGAGTTGGACTCGACAACAACAGGCTTTTTAGGGCGAAGTTAGGAAAGTACCCAGGTTTCTAAGCTTAAGATTCCTCAGCAGGAAAATATTGACATTACTAACTGCTTCACAATATTGGGAGGCAGATGCAATACATAAACATTGTTCAATAAGGAGCAGGTACAATTACTACAATATGCTTTAAAGGTAGAAAAGCAACTGGATTCGACTTTTTCATTATATTTCACATAGGGAGTTTCTGAAGTCTGCAAGACTTAACGACTACACTCTAGTCTCTCACACACCCTACACTGGTTTCTGCTTCTGTGAAATGGGACACTATCAGCCCAGGTGCCTCCTAGAGTATTTGTAAGAATAACAGGGGCTAAGGCACATAGATGGCTTTGAACAGTCCCTACCACACAGTCAGGATTGATAAACATTAACTCTTGCCAGATGTTCTAACTGCCAGTTCTACCTTGCTCAGCCAGTCATTTCTCCACTCCACCCCTGGAACTGCATTTCTTTGTTTGGAAAATGAAAGCAACGGAGTGAGTAAAATCTAAGGAAGCTATCTACTATTAAAAAAAGCAAAACAAAACATTTCTGGTTCTATCCTCGGAAGGAAGGTTGGGCTATCCTACTTCCGTAGTGATACTGCCTCGGAAACCCAAGGAGGGGTCGCTATGAGTCGGGGCCGACTCGACGGCAAAACAACAACAACAACAACATGACTATATGGCAAAAGACTATCATGTTACTTGTGAGGTAAAATTAGAAGTACTCTAGTAGTAGCCCTGGGTGGTGCAAATGGTTAAGCGCTTGGCTACTAACCCAAAGGTTGGCAGTTTGAATCCACCCTAAGGTACCTCATAAAAAAGGCCTGATAATCTGCTTCTGAAAAATCAACGGCTGAAAACCCTATGGGGCCCAGTTCTACTCTGACACACACGGGGTCGCCATAAGTCAGAATCGACTCCCAGACAACAGGCTTGAGATTTTGGGTTAGTAGGAGGTGAGAATCAAAAAGGTCACAAGAGTCTCTGTGAGGTGGGTGACCTAATGACAACATATTGAAGAGCCACTTCATCAAGACACATGTTCAGGCCTCTGCTCACGGCCTCAAGGGAGTCACCTAGACCTTGTGTAATTCTCCATGTTGAAGAAAGTAGGGACAATTCCAGCTTGACTAGGCTCCTAAGCTCATCCCTTAATGATTTCACAAAGTCATCCCTAGTACATGAAATCTTCTCATCATTGCCCGGGCTCATTGGGAATGGCCTGGCTATTAAAGGAAGGTGCTAATATGTAACACCCTTGTCTTTCCTTTCTCCCAAGATGTGCTGAGTCTATAGACAACATTTGGATACTTAGAGGATACCTTACCTGAAATAGCAAAGCCACTAAATCCTACAGCAAGCACCAGAAAGGAGATAGCCACCCCTTTGGTATGGGAGAAGCCAACCACCAGAAGTAAGGTGGCCTCCATGCCAAAGCCTGCAAACAGAAACAGCAGGGGGTAGATGTCATTTCCATGTCAATCAGCCCAATTCATGGATTATCAATAGTCATTAATGTATTTTTATTTCCAGAGATCTAAGTTTTTAAGTTATACATTCTGGCACAGTGCTTAAAATATTAGCCAGATGTTTCATGACTATGTGACTATGCTAGTGTTACCTGGATGTTCTGTAAACCTTCTTACATTATCATGACTTACCTTGAACACCAAATGGTTCTGGCAGGGTCCAGTGATGCTCTTGGAGTGGTGGATGCTGTCCTTTAGTTGATTCATTGGTAGTTGTCCCCACAATTTTTAAATATTAAAACTCTTCTATGTACTTCAGGGGTCCCTGGGTGGTACAAACAGTTAACGTGCTCAACTGCTAACCAGAAGGTTGGAAGAGAGTCTACTCAGAGGCACGTCAGGAAAAAGGGTTGGCAATCTACTTCTGAAAAATTAGCCATTGGAAACTCTCTAGCTCATAGTTTTCTGACACACGTGGGGTCACCATGAGTCAAGTTGACTCTATGGCACCTGGTTTGGATATAGTCTCAATGACTCCCCTTTGACTGACTCAATGATGGCCTCTCACATAAAAATAAAATGGCAGTACTCTAATGCTTATTGTCAAAAGCAAGCAGAGAGCTGGAGTGGATATCTGAAACAAAAAGCAGCACTTCACTGCTTATAAAGCATAAGGCAAAATTCTCCCCCTTCACCTGAACTCAGGCCTCTTTGTACAATTCGTGAGATATTTGCACAGAAAACACAGCAAGGCAACAATACTTTCTATTCCTTTCATTTGGAAAATGTGAGTCCAGTACAATCAAAAAGGATGAGGACATTATGAAGAAGTTCGTTCTCACCAAAAAAGCAAGTACAGCCAACAGGAAATAGAAAGATGGTATAATGATCATTCCCAGGTGTAAGGAGTGTCATGGGAGGTGGAAGACAATTAATGTGCTTCATCCAGGAGACTGTCTACTGAGTCCAGATAGCTCCTCATGATTGTCCTACAGCTACATCAAAGGCAACATGTTCAAACCAAGTCCTTGCTCTCCTGTTCTCTGCTCTGAAACAAGTAAACCAAACCACCATTGCTGCAACCACCATCCTCTTTCTTCTTCTCTAAAACAATCCTGTATCCAGACTTTAGAGTCAGATGAGCCTGGGTTCAGAGTCTACCTCAAAATTGCTGATTGTATGACCTTGGTTGGATAAGTTACTTCACATAGTAGTTTCTTTATCCAAAATGTAAAAAAGAAAAAAGGAAGTAACAATACAACCTTGTAGGGTACTGGAAGATTATTTGAAATTGAATATATAAGGTATTACATGCAGTCCTTGGCCCATAGGCATAGCTCAACAAATGGTAACCAGAAGACCAATGCAGAAACCTTGGGTCATCACAGAGTTTTCTCTTTTGTAAGACCCCTGTGATTCTAATGGACCCACCTGGATAATCCTATCCGCAAAGTCCTTTTTGCCATGTAAAGTAAAATACTCACAGGTTCCAAGGATTGCAGCATGGACATTTTTGGTGGCTGTGGGTCCTTATTCTGCTTTCCACCACTACCTTGCGGGGGATACTGAATACAACATCCCAGACTTTCATTTCTGACCCTCTAGAGTGCAAGGGCACATCTGCCAATCCTCAACCTTCTACACAAAATTTCAAGCCAAGGGCAGGGCCAAACATCTCTGCCCTGAGATCAGTGGTCAAGCTGCTGGGAAACCAGATGGCAACAAACTGTTCCCAACCTCCCTGATCAGACTTTATTCCTGATTCTGTGGGATCAGCTCTTGCCAGTTCCTGTGTCCCTCTATACATTCTTCGCTTCTAAATGGCTCTGACATATCTAATCTAGTCAGAGCACATTCATGCCCTCTTTTTCAATTTAATATCCCAGTTGTGACCTCTTGCCCATAGGTGACACTATCCTTCACCTCCCACTCATACCACCTGACTCCCAATCTCTTAGAGAAGTCCTTGTTAGATGTTGTTGAGCTGTTTTCTATTCATGGCAACCCCATGTGCCCGAGTAGAACGTCCTATAGGATTTTCTTGGCTGTAATCTTTATGTAGTCAGCCCCAGGGTTACAGGTGAGGAGAGACAACTCAGGGATGCCCGAAGTAGCACGCGGGAAGAGCAGGAGAAAGGGGATTAAAAGCCAGGAAGGCAGAGAGAAGAGCAGTCAGCCAAAGGGATTAGGTGAGGAGAGGCAACTCAGGCCCGCACAGAGTAGCAGGCCGGAAGAGCAGGAGAAAGGGGATAAAAAGCCAGGAACCCGGACAGAGGAGCAGTCAGCCCCAGGGACAACTCAGGGACGCACAAAATAGCAGGGCAGAAGAGCAG